ATATGTTAGTATTTGATATTGTGATTATAGCTGTGTTTAGATAAAAAAAAAACATTATTTATATATATTTGATTACAATATAAACACAATTTAAAGTTTGTGAAATTCATTATAATTTGCATTTAAACCACAAGATTTGCTAAAGCAATTTCAAGCTGATTTGTTGTAAACTGTGTTACAACCTAGTAACTAAAGGTGTGCAAAAAGTAGATCAGAAACAGAGGAAAAAGGAAGTTAATATTGAACAATGAATAGTGAAGAGCATTGGACTGTTAATTCACTACTAGCCTCTGTAATTTTCACCGTCAGCCAGATATCACCGCCGCCCAGGATAGTCGGCTCTTCCTCTTCTTCTTCTTCTTTTGCACTTTTTTATCTTTATTATTCTACAATGTGAATAATAGATAATGAATTAATTCACTTTTCATTGTTCACGTTGAAGAACGGTGGAGAGCAGCTCCTCTGCACTCTACCATTTTCATTGCCAACCATACATCACCATCACGCAGGGTAGCCTGCTCTTTCCGTTTCCCTTCTCTTTCTTCTTTTCCTTCTTCTTCTTTTTCTTTTTCTTCTACTATATTTAGCTACTCTTCATTTTTTGTGTGTCGGCCCAGGTCCTGCCCAAATCTAAATAAATTAAACTGGATTTTACTCGGTAAAATAAAAAAATCTAAAAAAAAATCTCAAATATTGTATTTTATTCGAAAAACTAATATGTAACAAGATTCAATGGCACTACATTAGAAGGAGATCGTATGATAATGTAACATTTATAGAATTTGATCACAATTATAATTTTGTTCTTGATGATATTTTACCTGATGTTGATGCATACTCAATAAACCATAGAAATTGTAGTCCTTGTCGGATACATTTTGTACGTGATGAAATTGCACATAGTTTAATGAAATAATAAAAAATACTTTATATAAAGTATTGTTTATTTCATTATGTAATAATAATAATTAAATTTATAATATTTCAATTAAAAATCATCGATATTAATATATGTCTTTTTTAGTTATTTTATAACCTTAATTTGAAAAGCATTCTTAACTAAACATATTAAATTATTTTTTGTTCAATTTCAATTTCAACTACAGTTTTAACCAAACATATATTTTTCAAACCAGCCTCAACTAAAATTACTTTTATAAAATAATTTTTTTAAAATTACAATTACAACAACTACCACAATACCAAACAAAAATGTATATGTCATTGAAACGCAATGTGTTTGATATTATGGTAACTGTTGTGGTTGTGATGTGAAAAAAATTATTTTATAAAAAATACTTTTATCTGAGGTTGGTTTGAAAAAAATATATGTTTGGTTAAAACTGTGGTTGAAACTGAGGTTAAAGAAAAAATAGTTTAATATTTTTGGTTAAAAATGCTTTTCAAATTGAGGTTATAAAATAATTAAAAAAAGATATATATTAATATTGATAGTTTTTAATTGAAATATTAGTTGTTTAACTAATGCTATTACATTATAAAATAAACAATATTTTATATAAAATATTTTTTTATTATTACATTAAACTATGTTCAAGTTCATCACGGATGGAATATAT